GTCAGTCGCGAACGAGTAGAAGAGGACCGGGCCGTCGCCGCCAAGTATAATGGGAAAAATCGAGTAGGCGGTAGCTCGGGTCGGCGCACTATCCTCCGCTTTTTTCCATTCTTCTTGTTCGCCTCGTCGTTCTACTTTATTCGCTTTCTTTGCTTTCAAACCATCGCTACGTCGCGTTGCGCCACATCATATCGCGCCACGTCGAACGACGTGTAAATTAAAGATTCTACAACAAAAACTGGCTACGAGTTTTGTTAAAATAAGAATGAGGAAGAAGAGTATACTGTCTCTTTTTATATATTTCATTTTAACTTATACTGAGAAAAATGTAATAAATTTTAATAAATGTTTAAATAATACTAACTTAACATTTACTTACGGTATATAAACCTTCCAAAATTGTTAGAGATATTTAGATAATTTTTAGAATTATTGTAAAGACTGAAATCTTACCCTTAAAGATTGAAAATTGAATCACTCTTTTCAAGATTATCTCAATTTTCATTCTTTAGAGTGAGATTTCACTTCAAAGAATTTAGAAAAAATATTTACTGAATAAGAAACATAATAGTTAAATCAAATTAATAGTTTCAAATAAATATATTTTTCCATTTAGTATTTAAATTAGTACCGTTTAAACAAATATTTGGCTGTATCAAACTTCATTGGCAGTTCACTGAAAATCTGTAGTTTACGTTACGTGCACTATAGTTTTTCAATACTAGCAGTTAATTTTAGAACACAGTCTTTATTAAAATTCAGTATGTATGTACATTTTTCTCTCATTGTCGATATATTATCTTACTCATTCTAACTTATTGAAGTTGGCAAAAACAACAGGCCAATCAAAAGTCTGTCATCTCGTGGCCAGATTCTATTACAGAGTCTCTAGTATAAATCAATCCGGTCGAAGGACGGTCCAAGTCCAAGAGTGGACTTTGTTGTTCATGAAATATTAAAATGATACATCATGCGCATCACGCGTGAAACGGGACGCACCCCAAGAATTGCGCGCGGGGTCAACGAGCCACGCAACGGCCGAGCCGCGTCCGTCGGCCATATTAATTAAGTAAACGGTGTTCTTATTGCCGACCTCTTTCAGCGGTTAATCACGGAACTCTCTTTGCGACTGAATTCGCACACAGATCCTTTACGCGGTATTACCACACCGAAATCGGTATCACGTTATACTTCGAAAATCGTATCGCATGTCGCGTATCACCTGTCGATAGCGTTTTGTATCTACCAGCACGTCGCGTGGCGTCTATCACGTTTCCGACGTTCCTATCTGTGCCTGTCTCTCTAACATCGCCGTCAATCGGAAGAAACTGAGACACTCCTGTATCACGACACAGGCGATAGGATCGCAAACGGCATTGGCACGCGCCACTTAAATCGCGATACACGCAGCAATCGGTGGCGGTCGTTAGGACAAATGATCACGAATATGCCGCAACGCCGAGCGATACGATGCGTCTCGTATAATGTTAGAGGGAGGGCATAAATCAATTTTTAACTGTGCCGCGGCTGTGGGTCGACGGTCGAGTTCCGATCTCCATTGATACATCGTTCGTTTTAGCGAACAGTTACTCGGAGAGTAATCGGTTCCATGTATCGCCGCGAACAACCAATTACGAGGAAATACACAGAATTGTTTGAGGAAATGACCGTGGCGACGAGGAAAGACAGGTACAATAAGATTGTTGGAGTAATAACAAGATTATTACGATGAGAACGAAATATATTGGCCACTCACAATGAATGAAGGTAGTAAATCGTTTGATGAAATAATGCGGAAAAAACAGTTTTATTGAAGTACTCAGTTGAAACAAAAAGTAGGTGTATTAAACATCGATGTTATAATTTTGCATCAATTTGCTAACGATATAAATGTATATAATTCATAATACTAGCTATTTAACGAAACAGTTGTACTGGCTACAGCAGAAATAACATCACCTTTGCAATTGTTGCCAAATTTTTTAAGGAAGTTTATATTTTTCATATAATATAAAGATTTGATCAAACATTGCGAATAAATTTGTAATTGATATGTAGACATTCCTAAATTTTTTTAGATTTTTTTTGACAGTATAGTTCTTCTTTAAATAATTTTCTAAAATAGCTTCTTATGAGAATGAAGATTTTAAATAATTTAATTGTAAACAAAATATAAAAATTTTTAAATTATAATGGACATAAAAGAATAATTTAATGAAATGTTCATAAATTATTTAATTATTTTAAATATGATGTCACACTAGTGAAACGTCATTTCCATCAGAATTATCAATATCTAAATTAAATTTGAACAATTAATTATATAAATAATTTTATATAAATAATTTTTATTTTTCACATCAATATTTATTTTTATTATTAAAAAAAATTTTTGAATAATAAATTATGATTTTACTGGTAATATTTGATTTATTATTTACTTTTTAGAAAATAGTATTTAAATGGCATTTGTGTTCTTGTATTAAGATAAAAAAAAGTCACATGATCCCTTACATTATTTAAAACTTGAGAATCTCCTTAATATGATTGGCATACATTTAGACCCAGTGAGAAACTAAAGACAAGACCAATTATATAATATTAAAGAATTTTCCAACAATTATCAAGCTATTTGTTTTGTTGAACGCAGATTGTTGAATGCGAAATTATAACATTTGATGTTGTATTCTTTCAATTGGTGTCGAAAATTTAACTAGGTATCTAAAAATTGGTATCTAAAAATTGGTATCTAAAAAAACTGGTATCTAAAAATTTAACTAGGTACAAATCTGAAAATAATTTTATTGGATTATGAAAATAATTAGGTAAAGAGAGAAGTTGCTAGAATGTTGAAATTTTAAATAAACAGCATTGCTTATCATGTTTGAATTTTCTAAGAAAGTAGAATACAAGTCATTATAACGTCAAAACAAAGTGGTTCGAAAATGACTAAAAATTACTTTTCAATCAATAACGATTCATTTTAACGTCAGTTTGACATTATTGTGACTTGTTCTACTTAAGGAATTATTTCGAAGTCCAAATTATTTTCAGAACAATACCTAAATGTTTAAACACTTCAGTAATATCGTTCTTTCTGGATATATAATGTAAACCGTACATGACATATGTATATAATGAAATGACACGTTGTGTATGCCCACGCTACACTTGGCACGTGTATGCGGCACACTTAACTAACACGCGTTAATGTTAATTCTAGTCGCAACGTTAACGATCCTAACGTTCATGGCAACATTAACGATCGGGAGGCCGGGGCGCCGCAAGTTCGAGGCTCGCCTCTGCATCGCGGCGGGGACGTTCGCACTCACATTGCAGACAGTGCTCTCTTATATAAGTTAAAAGCGAGACAGATAGCTGAAGAGAGAGAAAGAGAGAAGTTAGAGATAAATAGGTGGAATAATAGTCAACGACCATGCGGCGCGTAACACGCATCGACGCCAAACACGGTGACGTTCAATTGAACACCTAAATCCCGTTGCAATCGTTTTTCCTTTCGAATATCGTGTAGGATGCAATCGTCACAAGAGAGATTTCGTCGAGAAAATGGTCTTCGACTCATGAATGCGTCACAAGTATCGCGCGAAGTGCAGCTGAAACGAAGATAACACTAATTATTGGTCTACTGGAGTACGGTGGACTTATGCGTGATCAATTTGCATTAAGTGTCTTCTCGACACTCTTGCTGACATTTCTCTCCAACGTATATTTCCGCTGAATGACATCGAGGAAATTACAAAAATCGTGTAATACGAGAGCTATCATGTATGTAGTTTTTTTCTCTTTTCTTCTCTCTCTCTCTCTCTCTCTCTCTCTCTCTCTTATTCTCTTTTTTTCTCTTCATGACAGCTGCACTTCAACTAATGAATGTTACATGAATACACGCGACGAGTTTGGTGAGGCACGTTCTCTCGCGTACAGAGTGCGGAATATATGTATATATATATATATATATAAAAAAAAAAAGAGAGAGAGAGAGAGAGAGAGAGAGAGAGAAGAGACGGAGTTCAGTCGACGCTCGAGAAATTACCCGCGTGCAGCACTCCCGCCTGTTGACGATGGGGCTGACTCGAGCGGATGTCTCCCTTATCCGTGCCAGAGTAAGAATCGGAATGCCGGAGTTTCCTCCGCGCAGAGTAGGCGAACGCAGATTGCACCACGTCGCGAATCACGGTGTAACGAGTAACGAGTAAAAGTCTAACGATCGCCGCTCCTTCGTACCTCCCGTCTGCGACCGCCGTCGTCAGTCGGAGCGCGGCGACGGACTAGAAGCTGCAGCGGCGGCACATCGCGCAACCAGGACGTTCCACGCAAGTTCCAGCTGACGTCCTGACAGGGCGGGCGTTCGAGGAGGGGCATTCCACCGTGGCCGTGGCGAGGAAGGAAGAAATACGTCCACTCTATTCGGACTGAAAACGCGCTCCGCATCAGATCTTAATTACTCCGAATTAACGATTTGTACGCTCGGAATCGGCGAAAAATTCAGCCGATTCTCCCTTTTATTTTAGCGAAGGTTACGCAATTGCCAGAAGCGTTTCCTCCCGCGCACGTTCTCCAATGATATCCTAGATCGCGAAATATTAATCGTCACGCAATTTCCAAGTGAACGGTCACGTCGACACGCGATCGAAAATCCCCGTTTTCTAGATCTGATGTTTCTTTAATTCGCAAGCCCGCCTTGCGCATCCACCATCCCCCTATGATTTCTTCCCTCTCTCTCTCTCTCTCTCTCTCTCTCTCTCTCTCTCTCTCTCTCGGCCATTCGGTCAATCCGTTCCTCTCTCCGCCTTGCCCTCAGGCAGATAAATGATGAGGGCGCCAATTAGCGTCCACAAATCGACGCGCACGGATCCCTCCACGCGGAGAGTGGCGGAGAGGACAACGTACACATCGGAGAATCACGCGTTCGAGCGTGAATTGAGTAGAACTGCGCACCTGTCAATGACTGACCGCTCGAACGCGAGTTCGAGTTGACCCACCTCTTGCTTACGAGAGCCGTCGGCCGATCGAAGCCGCCGCCGCCGCCGCCGCCGCCACCATCACCGTCGTCGAGGCTGACTCTGTTGCCACCACGCGTTGCCGTCGAGGCACGGCCAGGTGGACGACGTGGATGATCGGACGTCGCGCTGCCGACGCTACCGTCATGTCGACGCACGTGTACCGTGCGTGGTGCAGTACTCGACTAACATCGGCCGCAAGCAGCCGCGAAATCAGCGATGCACAGATAAAACGTCGTCGACGGGCGTTCGCTCAGTGCTGCTCCGATGGCCGTCGACGATGCGATAGTGAGAACGATACGTACAACGGGTTGGGGTAGGCTAAGGGTAGGGAGAATGATTCTAACGCGCCGGCGGATGAAGCCTAGAGAGGGAAACGCGAGGGATTACGAAGGGAAAGATGAGAGAGAGAGAACGCGACAGCGATTGCTGAGACGGGTCAGACAGCACCCGGCCAACTGCACATCGCTGAATGAACCCACCATGACCCCGACGTTCACTTCTCCCGCATCCGAACCACCCCGTGGTACCCACCGTTTCCCTCCGTCTTTTCCTCCCCAGTCTACCTGACTTCCCGCCCACTGACGTGATCTTGGTGTTATTTTATACATAAACGCGTCTCGCAATCCACCGCTTATCTCTTCAACAATATCTTTCTCTCGCGAGATGTACAGCGATATGTTATACGGTACCTACTGATCTCACTTCGTAAATAAGTCTCTCTTTCCAGAGAAATGCTGTTTTTAAAGAAATTCTCTCTTTCTCTCTCTCTCTCTCTCTCTCTCTCTCTCTCTCTCTCTCTCTCTCTCTCTCTCTCTGAAATCTTGCAACGACGCACTTCTTCGAATTATATTTCTCAAATATATAATCTCTGAAATCTACGATTGCATTATAATCACGATAATTGAAATTAATTTTTACCCTTTATTGCTTCTTTCAGATTCATATCTAATTGAATCGGAATCATCTTTGCTGTTGAAGTATAAATGTAAGAAACTGTTACTTATTTAAGTAGCGAGGATATATTTATCATTCTATTTCGGAAGGTTTTAGACAAGTGAAGAAGAGTAAGAGAAATGAAAGAGATTAATTAATTTGTTTATCTGACAAATTTTGCTAGAGAGAAGAAGATTGCAGATTAACAATCTCTCGTTTACGAAGTTATTTGATGATGCTGCGTAATAGCAAATTTATTATTATTTATTTCTTCTTAATGAAAGAGTGGTGCGCTTATATACGAGCGCACTCATATTGAAACATTATTTGTTCTACTATGTCTTCTATGCGGTCTTCAGATCCTCCCTCCCCTGATATAACCATTCTATATCTGTTATCTCTTGTCAGTATCAATAGCTGTTAGTAACACTTAAAGGGTTTGATCATCGTCAATGGAATTTGCTGAATGGAACTCCGAACAACCAGCTCGAATAGAGCAATAAAGTAACTTATTCTCGACCATATATAATCATTCTACTCTTTCTTTTCTAGTTTCAATATCAACTTTATTGTTAGTAAGTTGAAATTAAACGAGCATCTGGTCATCAATTAATATCTTTATAAGAATTATTAGAAGATTATAATTGTAATTTAATATTGACTGATAATATAAATGGGATATAAATACTTATATAGTATTTATATTTAGAACTATTAGCAAAAATATAAAAAAATACATTTATAATTAAATTTTATTTAAATATGTATACATATATATATATGTGTGTATGTTAATACATATATAGACACAGTATTATCTACATAAATTAAATACAAAATTATCTTTGAAGCTATCTATTAAGCTATCTATTAAAGCTATCTATTAAGCTATCTATTAAAACATTTTTGTTTCAAACGATAAAATAATGATAAAATAAAAAATTGTTACATTGTATTATGATATCAATAATATTCCTTTTAACAGTAAAGATAATTTGCTGCTAATGAGCGACAAAATAATCGTAAATGAATGGTCGTCGAGTAACAAACTTTATCCCTCATTCAATAGGTAATGTAATAGTGCATCGATACCGATATCGGCACCTTATTTAACCATTATGCGCATGCTGGATCCGTCGTGACGTCAAGGGGGCGAAAAATCAATCCACCCTACTGCCGCGCTGTGCGGCAGGGATGTGACTGTGTGCGCAATCTACCACCATCCACTCCGTATTGTTGCTGTTAATTGTTACAGCGGTCACGTTCGCGAATGTAATAGCGAAATAATGAAAGCTAGACTTTTATAAGGTTTCAGCAATACAACGAAGACACGCAAAAGCGCGCCGCGTTTACTTTGCAAACTCCAGTTGATTGCGAGAAAATCAATGTTTATCGATGCGGCCGAGATCAACCGGAATTGTGAATCATGTGCGTCTTCGTTGACTTATCACGTTTTATTGTGCTGAATGATCATCAATCTACCGATGCGAATCAACGTATCGTAAATATTATACCTTCGAGTACCGCAATAAAAATTAATTATCTTATTAACATGTTTTTATGAAATGTTTGTTTAAAATAAAAAACCGTTTTAAATTAAATTGCTCTAAGTCTATATTAATTGTCATTTTCTCATATATCAATTTTATACATGTACATATAGTTATACTTCTTTCAACTCTAATATGAAATACACATACACACACACACACACACACACACACACACACACACACACACACACACACACACACACA